ATCGCCCCATAGATGGCCCCATAGCGCCCCATAGATCGCCCCATAGATGGCCCCATAGCGCCCCATAGATTGCCCCATAGATGGCCCCATAGATGGCCCCATGGATCGCCCCATAGCACCCCATAGATTACCCCTTAGATGGCCCCATAGATGGCCCCATAGCGCCCCATAGATGGCCCCATAGATGGGCCCATGGATCGCCCCATAGATGGCCCCATAGGTGGCCCCATAGCGCCCCATAGTGCCCCATAGATGGCTCCATGAATCGCCCCATAGTATCCTATAGGTGGCCCCATAGATCGCCACATAGCGCCCCATAGATGGTCCCATACCGCCCCATAGATGGCCCCATAGATGGCCCCATAGATCGCCCCATAGATGGCCCCGTAGATGGCCCTATAGATGGCCCCATAGCACCCCATAGATGGCCCTATAGGTAGCCCCATAGATCGCCCCATAGATGGCCCCATAGATGGCCCCATAGGTGGTCCTATGGATCGCCCCATAGTGTCCTATAGATGGCCCCATAGGTCGCCCCATAGCGCCCCATAGATGGCCCTATAGATGGCCCCATAGCGCCCCATAGATGGCCCCATGGATTGCCCCATAGTGTCCTATAGATGGCCCCATGGATCGCCCCATAGTGTCCTATAGATCGCCCCATAGATGGCCCCATAGATGGCCCCATAGCGCCCCATAGATGGCCCCATGGATGGCCCTATAGATGGCCCCATAGCGCCCCATAGATGGCCCTATAGGTAGCCCCATAGATCGCCCCATAGATGGCCCCATAGATGGCCCCATGGATCGCCCCATAGATGGCCCCATAGCGCCCCATAGATGGCCCCATAGATCGCCCTATGGATCACCCCATAGTGTCCTATAGATGGCCCCATAGATGGCCCCATAGATCGCCCCACACATTGCCCCATAGCGCCCCATAGATCGCCCCATAGCGCCCTATGGATGGCCCCATAGATGGCCCCATAGCGCCCCGTAGATCGCCCCATAGATCGCCCCATAGATTGCCCCA